TAAAAAAAAAAAAAAAAAAAACAAGAAAGTAAAATTAATTTAACATAATTATTAAAATATATTTTCCTGTGCATTATCACACAATGTATAATACAACTACATTAATTATTGTATATCATTTAATTTAATAAAATAATCAGAAATATATGTTTGAGAGAGTTGGATGTTAAAACCTGTGGCCAACCTTGTGACTTCATCACATAATTGCAAAAATATTGGTACTGCATCTCTAAACATTTTCATCTCATAACATCTATTCTTTAAATAATGCATCACTGTAACCAGCCAGGCCTAGGTGTACAGGGTTTGTGTTTGAATATGCGCTGTACAAACAAGGCTAGAAATAATGTTAATTTTTAAAAAATTAATCCATATGTCAAATAGATTAAAATCAGTGGGCATAGGCAGATAGCATCAATGTAACATCTCGGTAATCTTTACAGACCTCACTGATGTCTGTAAAGATGAGTTACATTTGTTTTACATCGATGAGCATTCTCATGCTTGTGTACATGTAACAATTTGTTACATTTTGTTGCATTTTGCTAGATTTTTGTACGTGTGAATCCGGTATTATTCAACACAATATTTTGGAGCAAGTTCATTAATGATGAAGAAATAAAGAAATAGAGAAAATAATATATCTTTCTTTTTTAAATCTGTAGGTACAGCAGATGGAGTCGCACGGTCGTAAACACATGCGCCTGTCTCTTATACACATCTAGATGTGTATAAGAGACAGCCCATCTTCCGCAAATTAATGATTTTTGCATGTTTTTTATAATGTATCATTAATTGTCTACCTGAAGTTAGCTGCCCATGGGAATCACCATACACAGCAAAATACAAACTTTTTACACAGAATTGATACTAATTTTATCAAAATGCAGTAAAAAAAAGGAAAGGGACATATAATGTGATTTGTATTAGGGATAGAGCTGCCAACTTTTAGTGTTTTTGGTGGCATTTACCACTTTGATTGACCACTAGGTTTGCACTAGTGGGTAGGATTAAATTCAGTGATACAATAAAAATATAAAAATCTGAACCATAATTTTCTTAACTATAGAGGGGGCTATTTAGTTCTCCAACATAGTCAGTAATACCATCCTGTAGTTTGGCCGCCAGTGTCCATTGTTTGCTCTTACTTTTTAATAAATTTAAGTTAATCGAACTCGGATGCAACTAAGTCTCGCGCAAAAGAATAAATGCCATTTATATATTGAGGGCCTCTTGAGTTTAGACACGAATGAATTGCATAATAATGATTATTGATTTTGGTGTCAGATACAGATTGGGCAATAGTGTTGCTTTATAATTTATTATTATATTTATTCGGTAAAAACATACAATTTAAACTTCACTTTCATACAAGTGACAAAAACATATAATACGCCTACCATTAATTCAAAACAAATTTAACAACCAACAAATACAACAAATAATGAGTAATTCTAGAGATACCCGGACAGGCAAAAGTGAAAACACAGTCATCAAAAGATGTGCCTGTCCAAATTAGAATTTGAAATGTTCTTAACAATAAGTATATCAGTGGGGAAAAAAATAACAAGAAAGTAAAATTAATTTAACATAATTATTAAAATATATTTTCTTGTGCATTATCACACAATGTATAATACAACTACATTAATTATTGTATATCATTTAATTTAATAAAATAATCAGAAATATATGTTTGAGAGAGTTGGATGTTAAAACCTGTGGCCAACCTTGTGACATCATCACATAATTGCAAAAATATTGGTACTGCATCTCTAAACGTTTTCTTCTCATAACATCTATTCTTTAAATAATGCATCACTGTAACCAGCCAGGCCTAGATATACAGGGTTTGTGTTTGAATATGCGCTGTACAAACAAGGCTAGAAATAATGTTAATTTTAAAGCAATTAATCCATATATCAAATAGATTAAAATTCTTGGGCATAGGCAGATAGCATCAATGTAACATCTCGGTAATCTTTACAGACCTCACTGATGTCTGTAAAGATGAGTTACATTTGTTTTACATCGATGAGCATTCTCATGCTTGTGTACATGTAACAATTTGTTACATTTTGTTGCATTTTGCTAGATTTTTGTACGTGTGAATCCGGTATTATTCAACACAATATTTTGGAGCAAGTTCATTAATGATGAAGAAATAAAGAAATAGAGAAAATAATATATCTTTCTTTTTTAAATCTGTAGGTACAGCAGATGGAGTCGCACGGTCGTAAACACATGCGCCGTGTATTTGGCAAGACCTTCAACAAACCTGGGACTGACTGCGCAGACATGAAATCCATGCTACATGTGATTCCGACAGCCAACATCAACTTGAGTAAGAACAATGGAAACTCGCCTCCCTTAACATCATCCCCTATTGTACAACCGGTACATCATAGCTACCCAGCGGTATCTGCAACCACGGTTGGTGTGACACCAAGCATGCGAGGTGAGAAATCTAAGCCGCTTCCACCATTCATGATACCTCTTTCGCCGCTTGATGCTGAAGAATCTCCGCCAAGGTCTGTCCTCCCGCCAGAATATCCAACCCCAAGTGGGAGTGCATCTCAGAGTGCGAACTCGCCTATGCTCGCTCATTGGAAAGTCTCACCAGGCAAGCGACCATTCACACTGATCATCGAGGACCCAAGTAAGCCACCTGGTTATAGACGTTACAAGCGTGGTCCAATTGATGACGCTATGCAGGAGCGGTTCACGCGGTATGAACGCAATGTCAACTGCGGGGATAAATGCTGTCAGTTTGCATTGAACACAACGCATTATCATTGTCTACATGCAAAGTGTAACTATAAATTCGCCGGGAAGACAATGATGTACAAACACGCGCAGCATCATGATCGTGTGGACAGTATCATACAAGAGGACTTTGAGCGTTTTAAAGCCACCGTCCACTGTGAGCGTCCAGATTGTGAATTTGCTCTGAAGCACACTCACTTCCATTGCTTGCGCTGTCCATTTATCTGCACCGACAGTGCAAAGGTCACTGCTCATAGAAAACAGCACACTAAATCAGAGGTCATCTCCTCGGCTGGTTTCAAACAATTCAGCTCTTCCGAATCGTGTGAATTTGAAGCGTGTAAATACTCCAATAAATACTCGCATTACCACTGTATGCGACAGAATTGCTTCCAAGCCGTGCTAGGCATGACAATGGTAGAGGCTCATAGTAGAAAATATCACCAACATTAGATTCCAATTCTAGTAAAAAAAGAAAGAAAGAATGCACATGACTTGGTTCTTCCATGTGACGCCCGGTTTTACCTGTTTTCCATGCTACACTTCCGAAGTATCACATTTAAATCCTCTATCAAAATCAAAAGTGATTGGATCAGATTAAAATCACTAAAAACAATCAGGTGCGCATGTCTCGTTGCATTACATTTTCTGTGGAATCGCATAGGTAATGATCATCGGTGCAGTGTGTGGCCGGTTTTACCAGCAAGGCTTAGTGAAAATCCGTAGTGGTTTCAACTCTAGGTGACTTCAGATTGCCAGTTATATGTTGTTTGCGATTATCTGATTGTCAATCCAATCTGCTTGTCGGTGATTCTTGTTTGTGAATGTTTTTACTTGCAACAGGTTAAGCATCCATTGTTCCAGTTTACTCGCAATAATCATATGAGTGTCATTACTCAACAATTTATCAAGTTTGTACCAAAGGATTACCAAGATATACCTCCGGTTTAGTAATGGTAATATCATAAATATTCATATTTAAAACATGAATATTTATGAGTCATTAAATAATAATTCATAAATAACCTGGTACGTGAATTTCGCTGATCTGTAGATTGTGAATATTGAGAATCTTCTATTTACTTATTCAAGTTTATCTATTGTATTCAAAATACTTTACTTTATAGTTTTATGCCACTACTCAAGAGGTATAAGTAAATCATGAATATTCAAATTATGAATACCGTGAGTTTTAATCATGGTTACTGTTTGCTGTGTGCTGCATTTTGACTGGTTTCTAAGGCAAAGTTTGATTGATTTATCAGTGGTTTTGCTTGAAAAGTCTGTGTCCATTTTTTTTTGGACAAGTTGTGTTAGGTAAAATAATTAAATTGCAAAAATTAAATATATTATATAATGATTTCACTCCGATATAAATGATCCAAAGACTCCCAAACCAAACATTAATATCTAAGGTAATTTACTTACATCTAGGTCTTCCATTTTGTTTTACCCATAATCCTCATTAATGACATGTGATCTGTCTCATCCAATTAGGATGCTGGCATCACATTTTAGTTTATGTGTAACCAAAGATTGCTGTGTGTAGCTGATATATTTTAGATATTTGTTAGTGTATTTTCTTATTTTTTGTTAATATTGATTTGCTGTATTGTATATAAAAAGATGATTTTGATTGTTGTTTTAATGTTTTATGGGTTCGTTGCAATTTGTTCTGATTTGGCAAATGCTGTGATCAAGTTTATTTTGAATTAGTTAACTCTTAATTTAAATAATAATGATTTTGTTTGTTTAGATTTACAGTAGTTCTATTTGCCGGACTTGCTTGTGCTTTATAATTTTTTATTTGGTTTTTTTTATAACTATAATTTTTTTTAATTTATTTTTTTTTTTATTGCATTATGAATCAATTTTATTGTAGATTTAAATATAATAGAATAAATATGAACTTAGAGATTCAAGTTGATGTTCCATATCAATCCAATCCAAATCTGCAACTATTTTTTATTCTCAAGAATTCAATTATACTAAATTTATCAAATCCAAATATCACCATGTAGTTAAAAAATGGTAAATATATATTTTTTTTTTTTTTTTTTTTTTTTGTGCCAAAAAAAAAGAGTGGTTGTTTCCTTATCGTGCTGTGAAAATTTAACAATTTGATTTTATTATTTAAGAATTATTTAGTCTGGTTACAAAAGATAGACTGATTCAGTAATGATGTTAGAAATGCAAAAAAATAACCGGTGGCCCAGCTGTTTAAACATTGGAACAGGTGTTCAATGAGTTAACATGTGTTGTAATTTGCATATGTGGTGACTTGTGTGCCACATGTGCAGGTGTTTATAATCATGTGATTGGCACTAGTAATTAAAGTGTGACACACGTTTTTAAAGATGGATAATGCGCCGGAAGTATATCCAAATAATTTGACCGTTGTTCTGCATGTGAGCTCAACGTCCAATCATATTTTTTTTAGTCAGCCATGCATAATTCACCTCAATTACATATATTATGTATGTTCCACTCAGAACTTTAATTGTGAATAATTTTAATGCTGTATAACGATATGCTGTGTTTTTTGACAGGATACGATTCCAGTGCTCTCCATGTCAAAATATAAATATACAAAAATTGCGGTAATTTTCATGCCAAATATATACGAGTATCCAGGTTTTTTCATAAATCTAAATTGTTTTGAATACAAATTCCATTTGACTAATTAACTTTTATACTAATTAAATAGTTAAGCTGTGTCCTGGTGTAAGTTGTTTGCTGTGCTATAATATTAATACCAAAAAATGGTAAGAATTCTTTATTGTTATAATTAAAAGCTTTAATATCTCTGAATAGTAAGAATGACAATTCTGTAGTTATAATGACAAAGGTATTCCCTGTTAATTGAATTGTAGATACAGTAGATCAAGATCATAACTTTCAGTTATTGTAACTTTTCAATATGTATTTTTTTATGCCTTTGAATTGAAATTACATTTTCCGTATAAAGATAGACCTATGAATTGTATTTTTTTGTTTTCCTGCTAATACTACTCTGTCCTATTTTTCGCATCAAATAATGTAAATACCAAGTAAATTTCTCTGGATTTCTTTTCCTCTATTTTTGCAAAACTATGCAAGATAATTTATTAGTATTTTTTGTTGTTTTGACTTCTTTCAAAGTTGTCTTTTACTCTGAGTAGATGTAAAATTATGTGCAAATAATTAACACATCCTAATTTGTATATTGTTTTCTGATTGATTTGATTTTTAATGAAACTATAGCACATTTATATAATTAATTCACATTCCATTTTGATTGGTTGAAGCACTGTGCATTATTGAGTATTCATGAGCAGTAGGCTGTTGAATATTCATGTAGGCTTATATATATAGGTACTATATAGACATTCATTAAAATGAATGTTGTTTATAATATTATAAGATGATTGAGTGGATGAAATTTTCATTTATCTTTTTTTTAAATTATTTTGGGAATTTATGCTGTGAATAGAATTATTATGTTTATTAAGTGTATTTTTACATTAATCATTATTGTTATTATTATTGTTATTATTTATTAATATTATTATTATCATTGGTAAATTAAGTAAACTCTATTATATAACGTCTGTGAATTTGTTAACTATCATTAACACAGTACTTACGATAAATCAGAGAATAAGGACAGATATTATAGAAGTTATAGTAAAGATTCCAGTTTACTGGGTCGTGAACGTGTAAAAGTAGCAATAAGTACTGAAGTTTCTTGGCCTATTCATCTAGAAATGACAGTGTCAAGACTTAATGAGAATATTGCAGTGAAGAATAAATAAAATTTAAAAAACAAAATTACAATCTACAAAAATTTTGAAATTTCCTGTTTGCATAATTTGTTTTATTTAATTCAGTGTGATAAAGAAATAATATGAATTTAATAGTGTTTAGTACCATTTGTGTTACAAACTTTCATTTGCTTACTTAAAGTTATTGATCATTATACATTAATGCTATTTTGAAAATTACGTTAGATGATTGTGAAAGAAAAGTATCAAAAAAATATTTTTAGAGCCAGTCTTAAAAATGATATACTGTAGTTTTTTAGGTTTTATTCTATTTTCATGAGAGGTTTTCTTTTTTGACTCAAACAGTTGTTATTTTCCCCAATTACTGGACGCATTGTTTTTGTTATTGATCTAAAGAGTGTTTTTGAGTGGAGCATTTAATCAAAGCAGAAATAGTTTGAAATGTGTGAACTATAGAGGGCAGTGTCTATAATGTCTCATCACTTTTGATGTGATTTTTTTTTCCATATCAGATCAGGTGTATTCTCAAGTAGATAGTTCCTTATTGTGTGTGTGATAAGTGAATGCTTCAATATAGATCTAAATCAGGATTTTTTTTTTGTATCTACTTTAAATCTTCTGTTACCTGAGGTAGCGGGAAGATAAACGCTTTTGCTGTGCAACTCATAGACAATATCAATATCGTGTGCAAATTATTTTTAATCATATTTCCCCATATTTTTTTGTGTGTTTAATATTTGTAATGATTTTGTTTGGAGTGAAATTTGTTTTTCAATTGTATGAATTTCTTTTCTTTTTTTTTTTCTTTGATAATTGGAAATCAGTTGTTTGGGGGTTTGTGTATTTTTGAGTGTCAAAAAGCACTAATAAAATCTTTGAATGATAAAATGTTTGTATTTGTCATTTTTCGTTTGTCAGAATCAAAATCAGAACAATTTTACTGATCGCTGTTCAGAAGATATCACATTGCTCAGTTGAACTTGCCTAAGTCAAATCCAAAATGGCATTGAAAAATTGTTTGACTTACCTGCTACCAACAGATGGTTAATTAATGGAAAACACAACAATTTGGCATGCAAAATAAGATTTACTTTGACTTATGTAAAGTTGAGTTAGGCAGGCAAGTTTAATTGTATCAAATTTAAATGAATTTTGTCAAAAATTTGAAGGATCTAGCCTTTTTTGATCTACGATTTTTCGTCTTTCTAAAAGTGAATTTTTTCGGAAACCCATCTTAATAACAAATTATTTCCACAATTCCAAAAACATAAAACTGGAAAGATCACTTAAGTTTGTACAGTACTATAAAAAACCTCCTAATCAATATAAAAGTTGTTGTGTCCCTCCATAAGTATCAATTTATCTGTTGTCAAAGGAAAAAAAATATCATTTGTGTCTGGACAATACAACATTATTATTCTAGAATTCTATTTATAATTGTTTACACCAACATTTAGATTTTGGGCTGCCTAGGTATGTATTCTGCTATTTATGTCATTATAGACGATCTGTTATGCGCATGTCGTGGCGGTGCGTACTCCATAGAATCGCATCGGCCGACGGCTGTCTTGCGCAGTGAGTGCCCGTCTTAAGAGATCAGATTGAGCTTGATTGGCTGATTGGTTTACGTTGATTGACAGTATCGAATGTGAGTGTGGTTTTGTGCTGATGACATCAAAATAGCATTGTAGACTACAACATACATTTGTCAAGAAATAAAAACACTTAACAACATTCTTCATTAATTTTCTATTAAATTTAATACAAGAACTGCTAGAAAATCAAGGTGTACATTTATTCATACAGTACTCTATACTGTAAAACAGTATCGGGGAAAAATACCCCTCTCTCTAAAATGGAATGTTCTGATGGTCATCATGCCCATTACCAGAGGTGTTTCTCTGGTTCAGCCAAACCCATCCTGACCCAACTGAAGCTCTTTCAATGACCCACCAGGGAGTGGAAAAGGGGTGGATATCCACACATTTGACCCCCTGGCTTTTTGGTAAACCCTTCCCTTAAGAAGTCCTGCAGTGGCGTATCCAGGACGATGAAATAGAGGGAGCCCAGGGACAGACTTTGACAAATGGAGGGTCTATACGACCATGGTTGGGGGTCGAGGTGCTAAAATTTATGATTATGTCACCTCTAGATGGCCGGAAATGGCACTCTCAGACATAAAATTTGAATATAATTTTATTTTTTTTCTTCTCCAACCCCCTTGAATCCGCCACTTTCCTGGTTACAGGCTTGATTATAAATTATTTTGTTTATAAAATTATATACTCAAGATGAAATTGCCACAAATAGTCTCAAGTAATTTACTTTTGGTACAGAAATAAGTACAAAGTCCATTCCTCTTCAACTTTAAGCTTTTCTATATCATCATACAGACTATATAAACAATAATTTAACACACACAACATAATAATACTAGGCATAGCTAGGCCTAAGACTTAAGGCGGCCTTCGGAATTGTCTGAAAATAGTAAACTGTGATGTGATGCGGAGTGTAAAAAATACCCCCATCAACTAATAAACTAATATTTAAGGTAAAGATGAAGAACTGTTACTTATAGCTTCCTACAAATTTAGATGATTCCAAAAGGCTGTACCTATTTGAAGGCCTATGTTGTGTATTAAAATTATTGTTTATATCAAGTGACACACGCAGTTAGAATTACACTTATTGGTCAATTTTTGTTCCTCTCTAAAAATCTGTTGCTTTCAAAGTAGTAGTTTCATTGTATTCACTTCATAAGGCAGCAAAAAAGCAGTCTAGTGCATACTGAAATTATAAGCAGTCTGGGCTCTCTCGCTTTGTGATTGCCTGTAGTGTCTAGACGTACCATCTTACTGTGCACAAAATATTTTCTGTTTTCGATTCTTCCGTTTTCACGTTCTTTTCAAGCAAGCAACTGATATTATGATAACCATCTCAATAAAGGCAGGAACAACACTGAATATGATAAAAAAAAAAAAAAAAACAGGATATTGAAACTACATAAAATTTAATGTAAACAAGATAAAAATCTGTGTTTTGTGACTATTGTTTATCATATTATGTGCTTATTGTGTTGTTACTAGTTAGCATCAACTCAATTATCTACATTATCAAAAACCTTGCTATTGTCACCTTAGGGGAGACTTTTTTTGAATACCTTGTTTAGCAAACTTATTTATTTTAAAGTTAGAGAAGGGCGGGGAAAAAAAATATGTTTTCTTATTTAGCAAAATGCTTTTGGGCAAAAGCATCTAGCTGGAGGAGGAAAAAAAAAATTAATTTTATTGATGAATGTAAACAGTGTAGCAATGAGATTGACAACTGGCACCATTATTTGCTAAACAAGGTAGAAAAAAGTCATGCCTTACTATCCTCACCATAATTCAATTGTTTTAATATTAATAAAATTATTGGTACATGGAGAATTTTCTTTCATTGTCTGCCATCTCTAACATTTATTAAATAAAACTGAATTCTGAATTAAGAATCGCCATCCCCAGCATCAACCACCCCCCCCCCAACAACTAGCATCCCAACAATCATCCCCGCCCTTCTCACCATCACTGCCTTCTTCCTTACTACCTGTACCATGATCGAGCCTTAAAAACTTACCTACAAAAAGAGAATATCCACCAAAATCTATAAATAGGCCACTTTTCAAATAAAAAATAAGACAACGAGACTGTTGCACTTGCATGGGCAATGACAGCTGGTTCCAATAGTCAAGGAAGATTGAGAAAAACTTAAAAAAATAATTGGAAATGTAAAACTCTTGATGAAACAAGGAGGGGTTATGAGAATGGGAGGAAAAGAGGGCCTGCCCCAGTATCTTAAAATGCCCCAGAATTTATTTTTGAAGAATAAATTGTTAAAATATATTACTACTAATGTTATTAAATTAATTTGGTGAGAACAAGAATAGAATTAGTACACGATTAGTTAGTACGGTATATCTTACCTGCAAAATATTATAATGCACCAAAGCCTGTATATCGGCCACTCTTCAAAGAGGAAATGACTGAACGCAGCCGAGCCACTTGCATGCGCACCGATGGCTTCACGGCAGAGGTTAAGGTGCATATAGTGACACTCAAGCCTTGTGGTGGGTTAGTATTGATTATGTACTGCATATACATTTTCACACCATGCATCTGTATTAGTTATCATATAGTATTACACAAACTGCATAGGTAATTCATTATCAGTAGGTAGGTTTTTTTTAATAGAATACCACACTAAAGTATGAATAGAATGAATATATATTATGACATCACAAACTATTACAGTACAGTACATCACAAAACATAAATTACACATTATTATGACTATAAAATAGTATGCATAAGAGAAAAGGGAATAAATAAGAATCCTAATGCATAACTGCATGTATTACTGTACAAGAATAACTTTACATCCCCTATGCTTAAAAATGGAATTTCCCAAGGATACAGATTAAGTTGGCGAAATTGCTAAACATGGACACGCCAGACATGAATCCTACCAGCTCCAGACCGATGAAGAACAGCGTGAAAACAAGACCTACAATCAGACTGAATAAAAAAAATTAAGGTTATACATTAGGATGATGTAAAAAGATTGGAATAATAATAAAGGAAAAAATAGAGGCAGCAGCAAAAAAAAGAGTGGGTGGGGAAACCAATTTATTTTTCTACTTGGCCTAACGTAACCGAAGTTTAGTTATCTTTCATGAGACAATAAATGTGAACGCCAGTATTAACAAACAGACCCCAAATTAGCGTACACCACGTCATGCATCAATGATTTTTAACTCAGCTAGGATTTGACCAATCAAAATAGCTTGGATGTAAACAGGAAATAAAATGCACGATTACAAATACAAATACTTCGTGTGGTTAATTATGCTAGCATTCGTTAATCGCCCAGTCTGGACATCTCACTAGTACGCCATGGATTAACACACGGCCAGCGTTAGAAACGCCTGGCATATCTCACAACAGGTCTGAACGTAGCCTTCTGTTATTGTAACAATGCAATGTTTTTATGTTTTGTTTTATTTTGTTCATATCCAGGATTTTCCTACCTGACGTCCTTATCGTCATATTCATCCTGAGTATAATCTGCGGGGATACTTGCAATCACATTGGCATCCTGGAAACATTTAAAATTGCAATTATTTGACAGAAGTTTAATCATTCATTCAGTCGTGTTTTTATTGCTCAAATCACAAAAACAGTTTAAAACAAGGAAGTGGATATATTTACGTTGCCGTGAACAAATTAGTAAACGTTATATTTACATGCGCATGCGCAAAAACTTTTTCATCTGATGACGTAAGGAGCAGCGCACACTACATTCCTTCTTCTCTTCCTTTTCAGTGAAGCGATCCACCAGAAGTACTTAGATAATTAGTATCCCCGTTTAGCGACGTGTTCACGGCGACGTAAATATATCCACTTCCTTAAAACAAAGCTTTACATAAAGGTTCCAAGATTGAACAGGATACACTGAAGAAAGACTAGTAATAATGTATAACTTAAAACACAATTAATTAAGTAACTAAACAATTAAATAACAGAATTAAATAAATATAATAGTAATAATATCAAATATGTTACTTCTTTTGTGTTGCCTTCTTCATTCAACAGATTTTTTAAATTCTTTGTTCTTACCCTTGCCCATAAAATTGTTATGGCGACAACCAGATGTGAGATGAGACAAAGGAACCTAGCAGGTACAATGTTTGTAACTGTCATAATTGTGAATCAATCACCCAGAATCCGAAAGAATCCTAGGCCCTGTGTAAACAAATCGGGTCCGTTGAGGACACAACCTCGAAGGGAAACCCCGCGGATGGTTTAGCAGTACTGGACGGATGAACTAGCCCAGGCCTCAATCGTCATATTCATAAAGATTTTTTTAGTTCACAGAATCACATAATTGATGCACAATGTCATTATCCGAAATGCAATTTATAATGTTTTTCTTCAACCGCAAAAATATATATTGAAAAATTCGAATCTGATGATAAAAAAATGAAATTACAACTTGCATAACAACAACTAACAACAACAAATCAGTCGGTCCTTTTTGTTGTTGATAATTTTCCAAATTGGAATGTTCCACATAAGCAATAGGTAAGATAACAGTTTCACATAAAAAATACTTGAGTTTATATTTCTATATTATTACATCTAAGAGTTTTAAGCAAGTCATATACAAAATAAAATGTATGACGGTAATATAATATTTCGCCGAAATCTGACTGACATTCATTATCATATCTCATCGTTATAATGTAATAGACCATTCCATTGTGTATGTACCCAAGTGGCTTATGCCAACTTAGGCTAAGCCTTTGCCCTGACCTAGGTAGGCCTAGCACAATCCTAGGCCTAGGGCCTGCGCTAGTCTTGATATGGAATGAAAGAATAGTTTTGTAGCATACATAACTATGTTATAGAGTAGTAATAAAGAATTATAAAAATGAGTAGATAATACTAATAGATAGATTAGTAATCTCTCAGCAGTCACTTGGCCGGTCACGTGATCAATGAATTTGTATGGAAAAGCCTGCCACGTCCCTTTAGCCATCATCATCAATGTATGGTCGTGTACACGCGTAATTTACATTTTTCGACGTTGCAGGGAAGATAAATAACATTGTTTTTTAGTGGCTTACTACTTGTTACAAGATGGTGAGTAATTGACAGGGTTGCTAATGTATTATTGCTTATTTAAGAGATAATTTGTGGTATCATCCCTCAATTTCTACGTTTTAATAGTATGAATTAGCTAGGCTTAGTCCAGGCAGGTATGTCAGCGGAAGTTATGGTGGAGAAGAGGTTGCCGCCCTGGATGGATTTTCCTTGCGGAACTGTTCGGTCCTGTAGGGGCCTAGACCTGGAAGAGTGTTTGTTCGTACAGACGGTCCCACAAAAAGGCCTATTGTATATTAAAAATAATGTTTTGTATGCTGTACTGACTTAATAACTAATGATAGGCACCAGTGAATAGGGCTAGCTAGGCCTAGATGTTTAAGACAATTTTATCAATATGAACTGCAAGAAGATTATAAATAAGTTAATGTTATCAAAGTTTATCGCAATATAAATAGAATAAGATACTCTTTATTGGTCTGTTCACTTATAAAAATACATAAACAGAAATGTTAGTTATTCTCTATATATTAAAACAATTTTCTACTTTTTCATCCACAATCTTAGAATCTAATTGCAACTCCCCACATACTGTAAAGTTAGGGAGAGTAATGGAAAATAGGTGGGCGGATTCATAAATACTGGATAAATAAATAAGTCTGCACGGAAATCAGCCCTTATTTTCCAAAATGTGTGGACAGATTTCTAGGCCAAATTTTTTGCGCGAAGGATATATTCTCCGTGCAGGCCTTACTATACAGTCTGGAAACTACCTGAATAAGTCAACCATCAGTCAATCTCTATGGCCATCCTCATGTTTCATCTATAAAAAGCCTAGTAGTTTCTTTGTGTACGAAAACAGCCGAATAATTAACACAGACAGTCCAATTCGATTATCAATTATTGTAGTGGGCTCTTAAGTTCAATATTTTGCTGATTTATAAAGTCTGCCAAACAGAAGCATAGTATTTAGATTTTATATTGAGTAGCCATCAAACTTCCTTCAATTTTGTTGTAACATCTATATTTTGTTTGTTAGTAACTATTCCTAAATTTATTTCTTTCAGCCATTGAGACTAGACATTAAGGTAAGTAACTGTAACATTTGTTTTCCACAATACATTTGTTTAGTACAGTAATAATATAAAATTGATACTGATAGTTTTTTTGTTAGTGGGTTCAGGGTTGTAGAAAACAAACAATTCTGGTTGCGGCTTGGTTGCTAAAACTATGAGACAAGTGAAAATCAGGATTAGGTACAGTAGATATTATAAAAATGATGATGATAAATATAAATACATTTACAATATTTTTAGATAATTGCACATAAGTTATATTTTGCTATATTTTTTGGACATGTTAACACATACAGTAAGCATCTATTGACTTACAGTATAATACACATAATAGTACACGAAGCTTCAATACATTATGTTGCAACAGTCAATGGCCTGGCCAAATATTTAAGAATAAGACAATTTCCTCAGTAGCCAATGAAACAATGGATATCTAAGAATGCAATTAAATTTATATGAAAATCGTTTTGTTTTATAATGAACTTGAAAATATTGTTCCTTGATTTAGCTTATTTACAGGTGTAACATTGCTTTTTAATTGGAAGTAAATAGAATTATCTAAATTGGTGTTTTTTTTTTTGTTACACCTTTGATAGATATGGGCTGTGTTATTAAATTATTAATATATTGTTCGTTAATTTCTCGTTTGTTTGCAGCGGAGATTGTCTGCACGATCAGACCGTGTCAAGTCTGTTGACCTGCACCCAACTGAACCATGGATGCTGGCCAGTTTATACAATGGTAACGTCCATATATGGAATCATGAGAGTCAGGTAACCAAATCTGGAAATTTTTTTTGTTTTTATTCATCTAGTACCCTTGTTGACTCATGCAGTGACACTGATATTAACTTTTAGTTCAGTCGAATGTTCTTGCCTATCTTGATTCTAGAGCGAATCATGGTCAAATCACCTCGTCCTGTGTATACACCTTTGAATCATGATAATTATATTCAGCATATGCAAGGGTGTCAGCCTTAACATTTATATGCTAAAAACACCATCATTCACAGCCTCTAGATTTAAAAATTTTCTGGGTGAGGATACCCCCCCCCCCCAGCAGCACATGCCATAGAACATGTGCCTACGGTACACATTGGGTCGCGGAGGCACTCGTATAAAAAGGTCACCTTTGGCTAAAAAAAGACCCACCCCCCTTGGAAGTCTGGCTACGGGCCTGACTTTTGATCTTGTTTGAAATTGGTGCCATATAAATTCTGAGATATTATTATATTATCAAAAGAATAATTTGGTCTTGTGGGAAAACAGGAGATATTAAGCCACGGCATCTACTGCGCTCGACAGTTGTCAGACGACATGTTCTTATGGAGAACGCAACTCCATGATGCGCGCACAAGAGATTAATTTTTGATGGCGATCCGTTGAGCCTGCTACTGACATTCAGCAATCTGCATCACACTGTCTGGCGCTCACAGGGAGTGGACTTAGATTAGTGGTAGGCTGGGACGAGTGCCCGGCTCTACAAAAATATCAATGAAATCATGTATTGTAACAATACAGTAGGTATTTAAAAAAATTTAAACTAACAACTTTCATTACTCAGTTGTTTGTCAACAGAGGATTTCAAATCATGATTTAACGCTTTCTTTATAATTTCAGACACTGATCAAATCTTTTGAAGTCTGTGACCTGCCCGTCAGGTCAGCCGTGTTTGTTGCACGCAAGAACTGGGTGATAACAGGCTCGGTAAGTACAAATTTACACATATTTATCATACTCTACACAACCTAGGAGTACATGTATACCATGACAGAAGCAGTGCTGCATATTTGTGTCATGGTGAGGGAGATCCTCTTCCTACCGGACCACATGTTTCTGTCTCAAGACACGTGCCAATGTTCTGCTAGCTGTGACAACACAGAATACTATATTTAGTTGTGTAAGATATAAAAGGTTATTCCGAGGGCAAACATCGATTTGTATATAAAATTTTATGGTTTGGAAACAGTAGTGTCAATGATAATGCAAAATAACTTTAAGGTAATGCAGCTTCATATTGCTGAATTTCATATGTATGGGTGTGGTCCATGACTTCTGTAGCAGCCGTAGAGAGGTGCTTAGTTCACATGATTCCACAACAACACAACGATGGGCTGAAATGAATCATAGCATTGGGGTAACCCCCCCCCCCCCC